CATACAGTGAAGGAAAAACTACCAGCAGTTAATATGTATCTGCTAGCACATATTTGCAGTTTAATCCCATAAAAGGACAGTATGCCTCTGTTTAGAGCTGTAAAAAAGAAAAGTTCCTTCCTCTTGATGTTTTCCGCAGGAAGCACCCTTCACCTTTCATACTCAATCATAATATTATTGTTGCACGCTGAAGCACTGAATGATATATGTGGAATTTTCCCTCCTAATCTAATGCACTGTTGGTTTGTGCTGCCTGCAGAGCTGAGGCTGATACATTTTCAGTCAGGGCCTCCAATCATAGATTCATAGAATCATAGAGCTGGAAGAGACCAAGACAGGACCAATCCCAACTAAATCAACCCAGCCAGGGCTTTATCAAGCTGAGACTTAAAAACCGCAAGGGATGGAGATTTCACCATCTCCCTAGGTAACCCATTCCAGTGCTTCACCACCCTCCTAGTGAAATAGTTTTTCCTAATATCTAACCTAGACCTCTCCCACTGCAACTTGAGACCACAGCTCTTTGTTCTGCCATTCATCACTACTGTGAACAGCTTTTCTCCATCCTCTTTGGAACCTCCCTTAAGGAAGTTGAAGGCTGCTATCAAATCCCCCCTCACTTTTCTCTTCTGCAGACTAAATAGACCCAACTCCCTCAGCCTCTCCTCGTAGGTCATATGCTCCAGCCCCCTAATCATTTTGGTTTTCCTCCGCTGGACTCTCTCCAGTGCATCCACATCCTTTCTATAGCTGGGAGCCCAGAACTGGATGCAGTACTCCAGAGCTGTCCTCACCAAAGCTGAATAAAGGGGAATAATCACTTCTCTGGATCTTCTGGCAATGCTCCTCCTAATTCAGCCTAATATGCCATTAGCCTTCTTGGCTACAAGGGCACACTGTTGACCCATATCCAGCCTTCTCATCCACTGTAATCCCAGGTCCTTTTCTGCAGAACTGCTACTTAGCCAGTTGGTCCCGAGCTTGTAACAATACTTGGGATTCTTCCGTCCCAAGTGCAGGACTCTTCACTTGACCTTGTTGAACCTCATCAGATTTCTTGTGGCCCAATTCTCCAATTTGTCTAAATCACTCTGGACTCTATCCCTGCCCTCCCGTGTATCTACCTCTCCCCCTAGTTTAGTGTGATCCACAAACTCCTAAGCCTAGGAGAGCTGGCAGTATTTTAAAGAAGCCTTATTGAAGGCACAGAAAGAAACCATTCCAATGCGTAGCAAGAGAAGCAAATATGGTAGGAGACTGGATTGGCTTCCTGGGGAAATCCTTGGTGAACTTAAGCACAAAAAGGGACCTAAAAACTAGGGAGGGGTATAAATGTATAGCTCGAGAATGCAGGGGAGTTATCAGGAAGGCGACAGCGCAATTGGAATTGGGACTGGCAAGGGATGTGAAGGATAACAAAAAAGGTTTCTACAGGCAAGTTAGCAAGAAGAAGGTGATCAGAGAGGGTGTGGGGCCCCTACTGGATGAGGGCGGTAATCCAGTGACAGATGATGTGGGGAAAGCTGAAGTACTTAATGCTTTCTTTGCCTTTGTTTTCACGGACAAGGTCAGTTCCCAGACTAATGCGCAAAGTGACACAATATGGGACAAAGGTGGACAGCCCTTGGTGGGGAAAGAACAGGGTAGGACCTATTTAAAATAGCTAAATGTACATAAATCCCTGGGTCCGGACATAATACATCTGAGGGTACTGAGGGAGTTGGCAAATGTCATTGAGGAGCCTTTGGCCATTATCTTTAAAAAGTTGTGGAGATCGGGAGAGATCCCGGATGATTGGAAAAAGTCTAATGTAGTTCCCATCTTTAAGAAAGAGAAGAAGGACAATCCAGGGAACTATAGGCTGGTAAGTCTTACCTGAGTCCCTGGAAGAATCACAGAGGGGATCCTCAAGGAATCCATTTTGAAGCACTTGGAAGAGGGGAAGGTGATCAGGAATAGTTTGCAGAGTTTTCAAAGATAATGGCTAAAGGCTTCACAATGGCATTTGCCAGCTCCCTCAGTACTCTCGGATGCATTAAATCCGGGCCCATGGAACTTGTCTACGTGGTTTGCCACTCTTCCTGGATGTAGGCCATGTTACCATTTTGAATGAAGCAAAATTCCCAACTTGTATAGGCAATTCCACAGAAATACTGAGGGCTGTTCAACATTGCTGGTGCATTTTCTTCTCTTGCCTCCTTCCCCATTGCTCCCCCCGACTCCCCCCACATCCTCATGTCAGAGTCACCATTCATCTGACAGAGGACTTATAAGAGGAAGCATGGTCCTGTGGTTAAGATTCTGAACAGAAACGAGAACCATCCGGATTGAATTACTGACTTTGCCACCTAATTCCCTGAGTGACTTTGGGCAAGTCATTTAGTCTCTGAAAGCATCAGTTCCACACCATTGAAATGCACGTACTTCTCGCCTTACAGAAGTGTTGGGATAAATTAATGTATGCGAGGTGTTTAGATATTATGGAGAAATAGGGGACCATATAAGCAGTTAGGTTGACTGGCCCTCCTTTTTATCAGCTGTATCATTGCTTATTCTGAGGGAGCTCCTGAGCCCTCCATAGTTTTCCTCCTAGGACTAGTAATTACACTCAGTTTCTCATATATGCCGTGTTGGTAGGTCATCCAGCTTCTGTCTTCTCCTCTCCTCACAACTCAGAGAAATTTACTATGAAACGCATTCTCATTATGTGACCTGTTAATCCCTTCCTACTAGGCTAATGTGTGACATATTTTATACAAAATGTCAGGATGGTTCACTGCATCTTCCCACTGTTCTGCTCATAAATTACATCCTGCCTCAGGTTTAGCTTTCAATTCAAAAACTAGTGGCTCAGCTCCTCAATGGAGGAAAACTGGC